ACAATTCTTATTCAAAAAGTTATGCCTTTAACATGCATTCATAAATACCTCTGACCTCCTGAGAGTCTCTCTATTCAACAACGTGGACCTTGATTGCGCATTAAAATTTGATAACACCTACCGAGAAGTGATAATGCCAGCTGCATACATATTTGTAAATCATGTTTTAGCACACGGACACAACACAGTTTAATCGATTCTGAATGGACAAGAGTCTTTGAGCATGCGGCTCGCCGCTCGCGCGCCATGTCCATATAAGGAGATTCTTTTGGGCAACTATAAAATGAAATGGATGGGGGTGTTTCGGAAAACGAAAGTAAAATTCGACAACAAAATCATTGGAAAACCATCATACATTGACTTCTTTTGACTCTCTGACTGAAAAGGTATTTATGAATGGGAATAAATATGTGCTTGGCCAGTCTGAAATTAACGATTAAGACCCGCCACTCACCCATTTATTCCCTTATTCAGATCAAATTTATCAGTTATCAGTGTTGCAAAACCCTCCATGAAATAATCTATTTAAATAGAATGCTTCAGGATCATCTCAAGAGGCTGCTTACACTCCACCTCTCGAAGCAATCACCAGTTGTATATTATTGATAACAGTAACTTCATATTTACAAGTGAGAATTCCATATATTTCCTTGAAGGCAATGAAGAGGTTTGTACTGAATACATACTAAAGGTGGTAGGATGCCTTTCAAAATATCTAAAAGTATAACATGAATAATACGAATGACATTTCCTTTTAAAAATTGTGATTAAATGATAGTCCTTTAAATGGACTCCAAGTTGCCAGCACAGGTCGAGGTCATCTGAAAATGCCCATTTGTTTCCCAATCTGTTATAAATTGTAATTGTTCAGAATACACTGTACATGTACATGCATTTCCCAAATTCTCCTTTTACAGTTAAGTCAGTTTCTTCAATTGATAAAATACCTCCAAACAATTCTCAAGGACTCTTGTCTGTAATTTTCACCTTCAATGTGGGACTATGCTCCAGAGGTTTCTAAAGAAAGATGATGAACTGAAGTGGTTGGTATTTCATTCACAGGCAAATCTTGGCTTTCGTGGGGGACAGGGAGCCTATTTCCAATTCTGAAAGATGCCATTTGTCCTCATTGTGCATGAGGCTGTGTTACGCCCTCTGTAGTCTACGCGACAAGTCTATAGATGTATCCATTTTTAACCTGCTCAAACTGAATCTCACCTATGCGCCTGTAGACAGTGCTTGTCTATCTTCAGTGTGACATCGCAGAGGTGGCCCTCCTTGCGGAATCGCTCTAACATCTCTAACACTGTGCTGTGGTGGCAGCCATCCCTGTGCCATATCACTGGCTCCCCCATTGTCAACTCCCCTAATGCAGCTTAGAACCTAATTTTAAGAGTGACAGGAGAGAGATTACCGTGACTAGAAGAAATCACTGCGACATAATACTTCTTCCATTAGCACATTCATGCATAAACTCAGACAGCAATATACTCTAGAGCCCCACTTTTGTATAAGAGAACAAGAATTCCGTGTGGGACAATCACATTAATTTAAAAGCCAACCTTTTGGAAAGAATTCTATTTGCAGATGCCACTATTTTTTTCTGCTGTAATGAATAAGCCATCTGAAAGCAATAAAATGTCCTGAAAAGTCAAATTTAGAATTTAGTATTTAGCTTGGGCTTCAATTTTTGGAAGAATATTTGAAAGAGAAACCATGACAAATGCACAATCAACAGGCAATAAATTGACTTAGTGTTTACTGTCATGATTGTGGTAACAACACTAGGCGTACTGAACATGTCGCAATATCACGTACTGCGCTCATCACAAGATTCCGTTTTTCATTCATTTTTTCATGACTGCCTGGGTGAATCTCCCCCAAAATTAGTTTTGCCCAATGGGAGTTGTTTTGCCCAGAACAAGACGTGTATTGTGGACTTTTTTTACAACTTTTTACAGTTGGTGGGGCATTCCATGAACTTATCCTGCTGTCGGGCATCCAGGAGCTTTTGTACATTATTGAATAGCACGAAGGGTAAATTTGCCCCATGTGTTAATGGACTGACAACGATGTCCTAGAGCACGTCTACATGTATGTCCCCGAGGGACTGTGAGTGACAAGAAGAGGGTCCTCTTTCCCGAGGCTGAAGGACTCTCTCTTCTGGTCACTCACAGGCCTGAGGGGGCATAGGCCTACACTAGTGACCGAATTTGGCCAGTTTATATGTGTTTTACAACACACCTAAAAAGAGAAAAAATACTAGGGTTTGAACTGTTTTATTCAACTTTCAATGGCACTTCAAAAATTGCAAAAATATTGAAGGTTCATTTTAGTTTTCATAGACGCAGTCTAATTTTGTGTTGCTACAGTCAACAAAGAAAAGAAATCTTCCAGGCTTTAAATTGTTTCGATTCAGGACATCCTCCAGAGGGCGCAATAAGCAGTCACAAATTTTCAAGACTAGTACCTGACAGGACCTTAGTCTCTGGAATTGACACGCATGCAATGTCTAGGCTTGTGTCAAGTCACACTGACGCCAAATTCATGTACTAGCCTAGAGTGTACCACACGTGACCGTATTTCAGCCAACCAGGATAAAGAACTAGGAAGTGGTATGTTATAAAAGTCCACAATAATAATAATCAGAAATAGTGACTTCACGCCAAGTGCTATCACACATGCATGCTATCGCACAAGTCTTCTGTGCAGGTGCACATGCTCAGAAGACTTAACCATAATAGAGGGAAACCAATTCATGACAATGCGTAACTTTGGTGAATGGATGCTCGCAATTGTTATTGTATACAATTTGTTCCCCTCTAGCTTCGCTCACTTACTGGCACAGGGAGCACTAAAATCGACATGGCATGGAACAGAAAATTGGCTTATAGGGCTAGGAAGAGAATTAAAACATGTAAAAAGGAGAAATTTCCCAAACAATACCTACCACTTGTCTTTTGTCAATATATTGCTCAGTACGTAGTGGGCTGAGTAGACGTTACACAACTGCCCGGGCCAGTCTCAAGTCTAGAGCGAGAAAAGTTGGTCCCAAGATGAAGATTACGGACAACAAAATATGTAGGCCTACGAGTAGTAGTCGGTAGTAGTAGGCCGCTATGCCTGTATCATCTCGGTCTACACGATTCTTGGACGGCAGTCTTCATCCTATACCATGGCCTAGTGTGCTGCTTGAGGGGGTTTCAACTGCGAAAATGTTAGTGAAAATCAAGGCAGCAATTCATGAAGTTAGTTGAGATAGTTCAAGAAAAGGTATTCAACCTAATTACAACAACCACGGGGGAATAAAGAATACAGCGACACAATAGTTGCCCTTGAAGTAGTACCAAGGCCTACGCGATAAAAACGAGATTCAATTTAAGTATGTTCGCCTATGCTGAATTCTTTGAAAAGACTTTGACACAGCCTAGACGTTCCCAAGTACCACGAACACGTAGTGATATCAGGGAGCCCGACTAATGTCGATTGAATAATTCTGACGTATGGAGCCTCAGAGGTGAAGGTGAGAGCGCGACCCTGGGCGCGGGCAGGCGCGGCCGGGTGCCACCGGACCCTGGGCCGATCGACTCAGCGGTTGACAGACTAGACGCGCCGGCAAGGCATGCATTGTACGAAGTCCGCGGGGCCGTGCGAAAACTGTTTCTTGCGGTATGCCTACAGCCCTCATTTGGGAAAATTATGGACCTACGAAAAATGTGCTCTTGTACGTCTTTGAAACTCACATGAACAAGTATCGATACATGAACAGTACATCTTGAAATGGTTTCGCGGTACCCGCTACATCTGGCTTTATAATTGGACCCCGACAAGCTCATATAGTCAAGTGGTAGACGCCTGCACTTGCCGAGTCGTGGGTTCGAGTCCCACGCAAGTGAATTTATTCAAAACTTACAGGAAAAGGATATGCAATGTTGGTATACGTCGGTGTAAGGGCAAAACACGTAATTAAATTTAACACCTCAACAAACCCGCTTTTCATTTGAGGTAGCAGCCTATTTGCAGCACAAAATGAAATGCAAAGTCGATTTCAACCAAGACTGAACTATGTTAATTTAATTTCAACTACACACTCGTCAATGTCACGGTACACGTTCACTCTACATTTTTAAACCAGTTTACTTTGTGCCACAGTAAAAGGGGGAAATGCTGATGTAATTCACGCCTAGCTGCCACCGGCGCTCAGAACATGCAAGCATAACTGGATTTGCAGGGGCCAGGCAGTCGATCGTCATCGGTGACATGGCATTCTTTAAATCAGTTTGCCACCGCGGTCGAGTAGCCTACCGTGACGATTTGGGTGACTGCGCCGTGCGCACTGATCCCGCTAATGCACCTGTCAATCATTGTAATCCTGGCCCCGGGGAACCCGGCACTAAAGCGGGGACTTTATTTAATATTGTAAGAGGGACTGCAGTGGACAAAAAGTGGAACGTTACGGCGTTATGTAAAATGCAAATTGTGATGTCTGCATAACCGCAGGTTGTTGACATCGCAGACATTTTTACACAGCAGTAAGTAGTGTTTACGTGTATTTTCACGACATGCATTTTGAGCGTGTCATATTTAGTGACACGCGCCTAATGATGCGCGCGCTACGCGTATACGCGTAGTTTGCATTACGCGATACGTCACATGCAGTGCCGTGTCATTTCATTGTGCGATGTGTCGTGTGTACGTGATCGCTCATCGTGTTCATGCTGTTTTAATTTTAGGAGGCTTTTACAATAAGGGTAAGACCACCACTGTCTTCGTATCGATGATCAATATTTTTGAGACCATTAATCATAAAAGGAAAAGTGTGGATGATGGGTCACATTATGTATTGTCTGATTGTACTTATGACTTATGTACTCAGGCTGATAACCCCACTAGTGTGGCACGGACTCTCACTCCCGATCTATCCTTAAGTTAAGGATAGATTAAGGATGGATCGGGAGTGAGAGTCCGTGCCACACTAGTGGGGCTACCAGGCTGATAACAATGCTGGAGCGTAGATAGATGTGTGCATAGAGCATGTGGAGGAATCAGGACAAAGGATACTTCTTTGCTTTGTGCATGCCAACGTTGGGAGTTATTTAAGCAAGCGAGACTAGACCGTGTAAGAGCTATTTAATCCAATGCGATCCGGCTTTCAAACCTGCCTGCGTCATGCTTTAGAAGGTCGTTACTCAAGCAGATTATGGTGCGAGTGCGAGAAAGGCTCAATACGTACGTGTGCTGGCCCGCGCCAGCCCGCTTGATGCACATTACGTAATACTGAATAGAATGACTGTAGTATGGCCTAGTCGGTTTTTCAATCATGCCATGGGATGGCCATGCGGAAGCTTATGAAGCACAGATCAAATATAGGGATCTTGAGTGGAGACTGAACCTGAGATGGTTGAGGCATGGTAGAGGGAACTTATGACTACATCATCACATGATTGTACAAATCCTTCAATTTGGCTCTGGGCCTACTCACTGACATGACTAACAGAAGTGATTTGCATATTTGTCAATCAATAGATCTGTGCTTGCCTGCTGCTTTGCCTGTTCCAATCCGGCCAAGACAACTTCCTGGATCGCTTGAACGTCAGGCTAGCAGGATTTTAAGTTTTTTGTAGCACTCTGAAGGTGATCACTATGAAGCACCTTGTAATTTTGTTGACTCTGCTTGCCTGCATTGGTAAGTCAAACCATGGTCAAACTGAAGTGGACTGGAATGTTGAAAATGTTCTCTGTCCATGGTATAGTGCGATCCTGGGACACTTAATCTGATTCAATGATGGTTTCCAATGCAGTGATGATTTGTCAAAATATCCACCTTTAGCCACACAAGGCCCAATTGCGGCTTTATTTAAAACATCAAAACGTTGAGAAAGATAATGCATAAAATGACCTTTTATCATTTAAATGAATGAAAAACCTTCATGAAAAAACACAAAAAGGGACTAACAAAGGGGTTGAATATAAAGAGAGAATAAAGTGGAATTAAAACAAAGGCAGAAATTAAGGAACTAACATTAAAATGTGACCCCCCAAAAAATCAAATTATTAAACATTTAAATGGAGGATGTTACTCCAAAAATGAGCCAACAAAGATGGCAGTTAAGTTAACTTGCAAGCAAAAATTGACCTGGAGAAAAAGAAGAAAGCCAAACCCTCTGAGATTGGTCTGAAAACTTTGAACCATTTCCTGATGAAAATGCTTTCCTGCTTATTTGACTTTTTAGGGACATGATGGCCAATATGCCATTGCAAGAAAAACTATTGTCAGTTAGTAGAATTCTTCGCGATAACTTTGATAACACCACCGAATATCAGTCGAGCTACTCAAAACAAAGTGACAGTGAAAAACTGTAGCAGTAAAACCTACATATACACCTATCAATTTATTTCCTTCTTGATTATGTAGGAACAATCCAGGCCCTAAAATGTTACGCTTGCAACTACACCAATGCTGTTCCCACTTACAATAGCTTCTGCGATGTGAACTTTAATAAGAACGGGTTCGGTGCTGTGGCATCCATCGTGGAGTGTGATGGCGTGTGTGTCGTAAGTAATCTGGCAGCGTTGGGGAGTAACTTTGGACCTGTAGCCAAAGAAATTGCACCACCAAATTAGACCCGAGGGTTTTCATGGTGAAAGAACAATATGAATAAAACGATTGCGGTTACACCATTGATCTATCTCTTTCTTGAGTATATGTATGTGTGGTTCTGAGAAGAACCGGGGAATAACTCTAGAACCACACGTACCCAACAAAGAGATTGATCCGT